GCCGGAAGCCCTAAGCAGTGGACGAGCGGGCAGTTGACCATCAGTCTTGCCCACTTGGTTGAAGTCCGAGAGAACGGCTGAAGACATGCAGGCACATGCAGACAGATCCAGACATACATACACATGTTTTATTACGTGCATATCCAGACATACATGTTCGACCGTGCTTCTTTGATGTACATGCATCCACCCTGGAAGAGCAGGGTGTGGGAATTGCTCAGGACCGTTCTGCCAGTGGCAACGGCCCAAGGCCCTGCCTTGTCATTCAAATCGCTGTGGCCTTTGTTGGAGAACTGTTTTGCAAACTCTGGCATTTCCACAGGAAAGCTCGCTGTCATGAACCCACATCACATGCGCAGCACCTTTTGGCTAAGACGCATTGCTTCGATTTTGATCGATTTTGTTCTGTGGCCATGTCCGGCGTAATGGCGATGCCTGTGGCGGCCGTCCGGGCCGCACCCGTGCAGGCTGCGCCAGTGGCACGTGGCAGCGCTGCTCCTGCACCCACTCTCAAGACATCCTCGAGCGTGGCTGTGATGGGGTTGGCGGCCACTGCGGTCACGGCCGCTGCGGCGGGCCGCAGCGGCCGGGCCCGAAACGGCTTGGCTCAAGGCTTGCATGGCAAGCAGCAGGTGAAGCGGTCTTTGAGCAGCGCAAAGGCGGCTAGCACATGATTGGCCTTTTCCCATACTTGGAGATCTCGCATGTTGTTTTTCCCATGGGGAATGAGTCAGGGGGCTTTTGACTGCATGACCCCGACAGCTTGGTCCCTCCCCTCAGTCAGGTCGTGGTTTGTGCTGGTGTCAACTTCCCGGAGGGTCGCAAGCTTCGCGTGGCTGTGGTTGGAGGAGGTCCTGCAGGTGCCAGTGCCGCAGATCAGTTGGCCAAAGATGGTGTCGAGACTTTCCTCATTGAGCGGAAGATGGACAACTGTAAGCCCTGCGGCGGAGCCATTCCTTTGTGTCACTGGGAAAACGAGTTGTTGACAGTTCAATATGTATTTTACGATCTGTTCGGCGTTTGGAGACACCTCCGAAGTGGCGAGAGTCCTTGTGCCTCAGCTAAGGCATGATTGATGAGTTTGACTTGCCAAAGGACATCGTTGACCGCCAAGTGAGGAAGATGACCATGATCTCCCCGACAAACAAAGAGGTCCAGATTGGGCAGACTCTGAAGGAGGGCTGGGGTGCAGAAAATAGTTTCTAAATCCTTTTCCTGTGGGTGAGGTAAGGGAGGGACACTTGGACCTAGGAAAACACAAGATGTGTTGATCCAAATTCCCCGGGTCCTTTGCTTAGCAAGGGCTCAGCCTCCTGAGTCATAGACTGAGGACGATGAGTTCATTGGCATGGTTCGCCGAGAAGTCCTGGACGACTTCCTGCGGCAGCGTGCCAAGACCAATGGTGCCACTTTGATCAACGGACTCTTTCTGGGCATGACCTTGCCTGAAAAGAAGGGTGACTCCTACGTGTTGACCTACAACGACTATGCCGGTGAGGAGGGAAATGCCCGCAAGGGAGAGAAGAAGACCCTGGAGGTCGACGTGGTCATTGGCGCAGATGGTGCCAATAGTCGAGTTGCCAAGGACATTGAAGCTGGCGATTATGAGTCTTTGGGTTGCACTTTCATAACCTGCCCGATGTCAACAACATCTCTCTCCCTCTCTCTCTATAAATATGTAACTATATATATATCCCTCTCTCTCTCTCTATCTCGCTCTCTCTCTATATATATATGTGTGTGTACATAATATACATTGTAAATGATTGTTAATCTCTCTCTCTCTCTCTCTCCATTGCTTTTGATAACTTAGATGTTGTGATGTAGCGGTGCCAATTAGGTATGCCATCGCGTTCCAAGAGCGCATGACAATCCCTGATAACAAGATGGAATACTACAAGGACAGGGCCGAGATGTATGTGGGTGAGGATGTGCCTTTCTCGCACTTGGGCCAACTTGGATTGTTTATGATTTTTGGCCTGTCTCTACAGATCCATGTGGAGACATGTCTTTGCCCAAATCCTGTTTCTCAACTTCTCCTAGATGAACCAAGGTGTCCCCTGATTTCTATGCCTGGGTGTTTCCCAAGTGTGACCATGTAGCAGTTGGCACTGGCACCGTGGTGGACAAGAAGGGTATCCAAAGATATCAGCAGGGCATTCGTGATCGAGCTGCCCCGCGCATCGAGGGTGGCAAGATCATTCGAGTGGAGGCTGAGACTGCCAGACCTGTCAAAAACATGGCACACCATGGCACACATTGAGATTATATGATTACTAATTACTAATTACGACGTTTTCCGGTGGCTTTGGGACCACAGGATGACAGGCCGGGCAGGCCACTAAGATCACCGCCACCACTCCATGGCTTCGATGTGAATCACGACCTTCGGCCGCAGGCTCATCCAATCCCAGAGCATCCTCGCCCTTGGCGCGTGAAGGACCGTGCCATCCTGGTGGGTGATGCCGCAGGCTATGTGACCAAGTGCTCCGGAGAAGGCATCTACTTCGCCGCAAAGAGTGGGCGCATGTGCGCGGAGACCATCGTCAAGAACTCCATGCAAGGCGGGATGGTGGATAGGAAGTTTGACGACTGAAATGGCAAGCAACATGTGCATCGATGGACTTCATACTGGCTGAAATGGCCAGGCGATGCTTTACTGATAGGGGTCGCGCGAACTATTTGTTCCAGGGGGTACGTCAATGGGTGGAATCATTTTCTTGGAATCATTTCTTGACCGGGGGGCATAGGGGGTGTCAACGATGTACCAGAATCATTTTTCCATAAGGATACAGTATGATTCCAGAATTGATGATTGCCGCGTTTTTGAATGTCATGTTTGAATGCGCCTGAGTCTCAAGCACACAGATATCTACTACTGGAATGAAGATGAGTCTGAGTTTCATGTTCTTCACATGTTTTTATAGAGTTTGATATCAGTTTGTTAGGAGGGGCGTAGACATATTTGCAGATTTCAGGAATTATTCTCAGCGTAGACGAAGAATTGAATCATTATCAGCAACCTACCTCACACACCTAGAATCATTTAAAATGATTCCTGCGGGGGGTTGAGGTGGGCCCCACTTAACGCAACCCCTAGCTTTACTGTTCGCTGACATGTTGATGCATGAGATTTGAGCCGTGTTTCATACAGGACATGACATCCGCGGAAGCAATGGTAGGACCCTGCAGGCGTTCGCATGATCGACGAAGCTGACCTCATGGAGCACTTGCGCGAATGGGACAGCCGGTAGCCTTGGCCTCACATGAGAAGAAAGGACTAGCATGACCCCTTGGGGATTCCCAAGTGGCGTTTTTAAGGGCTCAAGCGAACTCATGGGCTGTTCTTTTGCGTTGCTTCAACTGGCTTCCTGTATCGGTTGGGGTCAAGAAGATCATCTCGCATGCCGCATGAGTATATGTAATTTAGTTTCATCTAGCCTAGATCCACGTCTCACATGTTGGAGGGATGGCATCAAAAGTCCCCCACAAGGCTGTTGGCAACCAAATTCATGCAGCTTTGGAAGCTGTGCTCAGTAGCGCAAACAATGCCAGGCATTGTGGAACAAACATGACAAGTATGGGCAGTAGTAAGTACAGTAGTAGTCCTGACATGATGCAGTGTGCTCTTCCAAGGTATGGTCCAACCTACCTAGTGTTGGATTTGCTTCAGAAGATCTTTTATACCAGCGATGCTGCTCGAGAGAGCTTCGTGGAACTGTGCGAGGAGGAGTTCCTCTTCGGATGTTAGAATTGAAGGTTTCAATTTGAATAATGACTGTAATTACTGTAACATAGTCATTTGCATTCATTTTGCTATGGCACATCCAAAATTATCCTGGGCGCTGTTGTGTCACCACGCGGCGGTGCGCAGCGGCTTTGCGTTTGGGGTTGTTGGGGATGCCAAGTGAGGTACGTGCAGAAAGTCACCTTTGACTCTTACCTGTACAAGACCGTCCAGGGAAACGACCCTGTGGGAGACTTGAAGTTGGGCCTCTTGGCTGATTTTCGATGCTTGGGCCATGGCGGCCATGGTCCATGTCGGTCTGGAAATCCAAAACATCCTGGAACTCAGGCTGGAAGACGCTCAGCTCCTTGTACAAGTACAACAATCAGAAAACCCCTGATCCTATGCGAACATTGGCCTGAGCAGTTTTGTACTCTGCATGGAGGGTCATCCAAAGTATGTAGCTTTGTAGCTGCGCAGAGTGACCCATCCATGCATGCTCTTGTGCCTGGCCCTTAGGCCTCATACAACGACAGGGCACCGTTACATACCTTTACTATGTTGTTGTTTTTCATTCCTTGACATTTTTCAAACTCGGCCAGCGTACGATCCCCAATGCCAGTGCATGGAAAAGTGTGCGACAGCATGTCAGCTGTCTAAAGAACAAACATGGTTGGCGCCCTGGTAGTTTAAATTCTTAGGCCTCCCGTGCCGAAGCCAATCACTGGTCGCAGCCGTGCTGCTCGACTCTTTAGGCGTCGAATCGACCGTTTTCCCGTGCTTTTTGAAGATGCGGGTAATGCGAAACACCGCATTCCAAACCGACCTGCAATGCTCAGCCAAAAAGCGGGAAAAGGCTTCTGGCCGCTAAACAGGAGATACAAGAGCCAAAAATCAGGAGCCACCAAAGTCCCGGTGCTGAGCCCACGCTTGCACTGAGTCGATGCCGTTGAGTTGCTCAGGAAGTATATAGAATTCATATGCAGTAACTCAGCTAACCTACATATTGCTACCTTCAGGACTCATGGCTCAGTTTCCAAGTTCTTGGGACTTGAGCCAGGAGTTCTGAGGGAGTATCCGGGCACATGCTTTATTCAAGAACCGGATTCATACGCGTAAAGACTAGAACATGTGAGGTGGCAGCGTCAGTGTAATGAAAATACTCTCGTGCCACAGGATCAGAAGACAACAAACCGGGGTAGCACCATTTCCTTTGAGGCCCGATGACCATTTTTGCTTTTTTGTGAGTGAACATTTCCCTCAGATCAATGCCATGGCGATTGCTTTGGAGTCTGGCGAGCCTGCTTCACATGACCCTACCGGCTTTGGCAAGCTTGCCCGCCCCTTTGCAGCTACGGCCCGCTTTGGAGGACAGGAGGGCATATTTGCAATGCTAAACGCAAAGGATCCGCAGCCCCCCCTGCAGTGGTCAATCAACCTGTGCAGAAACAAACCTGTCAAGAAGTGGCCTTGTGCAAAAACTGACTCCATTTTTCGTGTTGGCCCAACGGCTCCTGAGACGGCCTTTGGTCTCGAACGCAGCGCACGCTTAAACGGCTTAAGCCGCTTGGCACGACGACATGGTCGTGGGCCACTGCTATGGGTGCTGCGCTCACAAAACATCGAAGAGAACGCGCAGGCAAAGACAGGGTCTTGGTACTGTCGTGTTGGGCGCTGGTAAGGGGTGGGCAAGTGGAGGCATCTACTTAGTTTTGGGCAGCTACTAGTCGACCAGAACCAGAACACCTGAAAAGCTGGGGGTGCCGTCCGGTTGTGGAGGGTTTTGAGGCTTCGAACTTTGATTGAAGCGATGGACACCTCCCAAGTCCCCTGTTTGAGTCATGTATGCCGCAGCCGTTTGAGCCTCGAAACTGAGATTTTGAAGGGAAGTTTTGAGTTGGCATCACACACATGACAGAACTCGGCTTTTCCAGCATCCAGGCAATTTGGACTCCAGGAGGCATGTAGTTTGTCAGGAGGCATGTAGTAGTGAAGTGCCGGGCCACTTGCAGATTGACCACAGACCATATGTTAACGCCATGTGCTGGAGCTTGGAGGTAAGCCTCGGCACCTCGATTTGCAGCCTTCTGGTCTCCATCTTTCTTTTACAAGGATGGCAGCCGGTGCGTTTCCGTTTCTATGGCGGATGCTTGCTGGGTCTATGTAGCATGCAGTGGGCCGAGGCCTTCTTGTGGTATCACGGAGATCTCGTGGAGTCCTGCCAAGTCGGTGGTGCAAACCGCTTTGGGACACAGATCCTAGTGCCCTTGGCCTTGATTTTGCAGCCTTTGGGCCCTTTCTTTTCAGCACGTCTTTTTCTACCTCAACGGGCCTTGCCCATGTGCTATGCAGCCCCACCCTTGCTGTGGTTTGGAGGACTTTGCTTCAAGTATTTGGTCTTTGGTGATGCTTGGATGCATACTGTCCCAGCTCCGGAGCGGGGACCCGTGATACTTTCTCGTAAGTTTGGACTGACTACACCAGCGATGAGGGATGAGTGAGGATTCATCTTAAAGCATCATGTGTTTTAAAGTTTGGGGGGAAGATTGGGCCTGTGGCTGAGGACAGATATCCCAACGCATGGCTCTTTTGTGAAGTCCTGTGCACCCACATCTCTCCCATGGGCTATTTGGTGTGGTATGCCAGACACTGCGAGGAGTAAACATGTGCGGAAATTTTTTGCCCTCCCTGAAGCCACGATAGGACATGTTTGTTTGCAGGATCACTTTAATTGGGTGGCCACCGCTTCCAGAAGCAAAATTGTCTTTCTGCTGGAGCTCATTTTTTGGATCCTTTTCGGCCCAAGGTTGACCCTGCAACAAAATGCAACCAAGGAAATAGCGCTCCTTACAAGATCCTTGCTTTAAGGAAGTTCTTTGAAGTGACGCACACGACCTTTGAGGCTTGGCAGATGATACTGTGGTGTGCATATATCTCAGCACCAGTGCTGAAAGCCATGAGACCGTTGTTGAAAGCACTCTTCGCATGTGCCTGGGGCTTGGCGTGCTGCTTGTTGTCAATGACGATCACCGATTCTCCTCCCAGCAATTGGTGCATTTACATCGTCTCCTACAACATCATCGCTCTGATCGAGTACGCCTTGGTGCAAGCTGGGCTGGTCTCCGGCGAGGAGTCCGACGAGAGTGAGGATGAGTCAGAGACAGAGACTGATGAGGAGGAGGGCCTGAAGACAAGTGCAAATAAGATTTCAGGCTGGGGCATCTAGGAACAAGAAGCTACTAGGGGCTCCTGGCCTTACTACTAGGAGCAAGGACGCTACCAGGGCCTCCTGGCATCGCTACTAGGAGCAAGGACGCTACTAGGCTGAGGCATCTAGCTCCAAAATGTTCATGAGACAGAGATGGGCAAAGGCCCATATTTAGATGACATCAGGGAGGTGAGAACAGCAAAACGGAAGAAACCTCCAGCGAGCCAGCCAACAGACTATTGGAACTCCACGGCATGAAGCTAGAATAGCCACATACAGTAACAGCCGCCCAAGACTGGTGGATTGGATTGGTTGTTGTTTGGAGCTGCCGCGCTATCTTGTCTAGGACAACATGTGCCAGCGGCAAAGATCAGCAGATCAACTTCCAAGTCATCTTTCCTGTGCACATGTTTGTAGTTGTGGAAAGATTGATGCTAAAGTTGAAGATTGATGCCAGAATAGGAGGGAGCCGTGAGAAGCAATGCATACAGACCTGTGGAAGGACACCGAAAGTTGTGACAAGATGTAGCAAGGATCGCATGTGTCCATTGAGCCTTCAGATTTACAAAGACAAACAGACAGAACGCACATCCAACGCTTGCTCCAGCTCATGGCTCATGGTCGAACCCAGCGCCCTCCAGTGTGGCCCGGCGCTACAACTGGGCTTCACTTTTGTGGCGGCCCGGCGTCATCGCCGATGCCATTCTGCACTGTTTCGGCGATTTGAAGCTTTGCAAGAGCTTCCTGGGATTCCAAGCGCACTTTTTTTGCGGTATATAGTTTTGTGCATGTTGATTCTTTTTGTTTGACTACCGAACCTATGAGTATACATATATATATATATACACGTAAAAGCCGCTGGGCCCAAACGCCCTCAGGCTCGGGCAATCGGGGTGCCCCGGGCTGGCTGGACACGCGAGTGTCGACCAGCGTCCACGAGGCCAGGTCACTCCCTGGCTCCCCTCGCCTTTGTGACCTGGTGTTCCCGTGGTTCCTCGCTGTCCTGGTGCCATGGCTCTTGATGATGTGCTGTCGCTGGTGGACCAGGTGCTGCCTGGCGACTTTGGCTCTAAGGTCCGCTCGCTCCTTGCTGAGGTGCACGCTGCTCCCTTTCCTTTGATGTTTGGAGGCAGTGCTTGTATCGCTGGAGAAGTGCTTCATGCTGGAAGTGATGGTATTGAGTTGGCTCCCCTTGCCTTCCATCCTGGACGTGGATTCGAGAAGTCTGCAAGCGTTCCACCTGCGGTTTGGGTCCATGTTCCTAACCTCAGCTCACGGTCCATTTCAGTTGCTGCTGGCGTACAATTGATGTGTTTTGGTCCCCTCAACTCGGACTCCAAGGTTCCGATCTTCAGGTTCGAAGACCATTGCACGGTGCATTTTAGGCCCGACTTTGATGCCACCTTCGCCTGGGACTGTACACACATGTTCAGTGGCTCTTTCTGCGGTTGGCACCAGGCTGTGGAGTGGATTCCCAATGCGGGCATTGGTTTCCTCCCTGGCAGACAGATCTTCATCGACAATGATGCTACTACCATGGGGGTTTGCGCCACTCAAAACAACATGAAGGTCTTGACGTGCCCGCTGGATCCTCTGGCTCCGTGGAACCCCTCAACGAAGCTTGGGGTTATCGGTGACATTGCTGATCGTACGATCCCTTACATCCACCGATCGCAGCTCAATCTTTTGTGCACCTTATCCCCACCATGTCAAACATGGTCGCGCGGTGGCAGAGCGGGTGGTTTGTCTGAAACCAATGGTTGGAGCTTTGTTGAAGGGTTGAAGCAGATTTTCGTCTTGCAACCCATTCTGGCATTTGCGGAATGTGCAGATGAAATTCGGAACCATTGCCATTTTCCGATTGTACAGCACATTGCACTAGCCTTTGGGTATAAGACCCTGTGGACACAGGTCATGCCTTTCCACGAGCTGAGCCATCATCACAGGACTCGCTGGTTGTGTATTTGGATTCGCTTCGACATCCCGGCCCAGCCGCTTGGCTTTGAACTCCCATGCTCAATCACTCCGCGTTTGGCCTGGAATAATGAGTGTTACAAATTCACACTTCCAGCGGTGTGGCAGAACCAAATCCGCCTGAGTCCTTCCGAAGCCAAGATCTATAACGATCCAAGTTTGCTGCCACCTGCCAAGCGCCTTCGCATGTGCACCGAGCCGCAACCTGAGGCTGGACTCCTCATGCGAGTTCCGAACCCAGCTGAACCCTTGGCAACATTATGCGCATCCTACAGTGCGCAGCACTTGCTGTCAGTTGACCATGTTTCTCAAAAAGGCATTTTCGCCTTCCTGCAACAAGTAAGCGATGGGTTCGCTTTCTTCGACCCAGCACATTTTTGCTCGCTTTTCGGAGCCATCACATGCATCGTCATGCCTAGCAAGCTGTCTCTTGCCTTTAAAGTCATTGGCAATGCAATCACGGTCCCTCAAAGCATCATATGCCTTTGTGTAGGGTTACATGCAGTCCTGCCAGAGCCTGTCGACCCAATTGCCATTATGCGCCTTGCTTGGGAACACCGGCTCACGGCCCGCAATGCCATCCTTTTCGAGCATGGTCCATTTGTCTACATGTGTCCCTTTGTGCAGGTCCCTCAATGGCTGTCTACTAAGGTCATCCAAGATCATCATCATGGTGAATGGCAAGTTCATTTCTGCCTCGATGCTGGACATGGCACCGCTACTACCAGGGCTACAACCACGGATGTATTTCGTGAGGTGCTGCACAGACTGGTTGATGCACCCTGCAGTCTCCTTGAACAATGCAAACTCAAGTGCCGCTTGTGTGAAAGGACTTTGGCTGTCACTATTCAAGAGATCTCGGCAATCGATGAGCACTGGCAGCTCGTTATTTGTGACTCCCATTTGGGCTCGTGCTCATTTCAGCTTCAACCCCAAGGTGCGCTTGAGCCCTGTGATGCCTCGAGTGGATTTTCACCTACCTTGGCCATGACTGAGCACGAGGGTAACATCGTCGAGCTCCCTATGCCTGGAGTTTTGGCTGATTTTTGTGCAGTTGACCTTTTCAGCTCTGTGCTTGAGTGCATTAAAGCTGCTGGATTTGATCACATGCAACTTGGTCTCATGCTTCATCTCGTCCACCACCAGCTACCCGGAGCACTCTCTTGTGTCACATCTCCCCTTCAAGCTGAGCATTTGGTCACCCTTCTACGGCTGCGATTGGTCCAAGGAGAGACTTTGGCCATCACTTCCACTTTTGATGCCTGCCATCCCAAAGCAAGAGTCTCCAAGTTCATCCATATCTTCAAAGCCTCAGATGACCCGCTCCAGATCGCTGTTGCGGTTGTTCTCCCAGGTCATTCCATCGTTGCTCATGTGATGTTGCATGCTCGACCTGGGGCACTTCCAGGATTCACGCTTCATGGCCTCCATTATTATGTCCATCAGATCAATGGTATTCCTGCTGCGCAGCACACTGGACCGTTGATGAATGGCACTCTACTTCACCTCGAGCGCTCCAACGAGATTAGAGCTGGCGGTCATCACTTGGCTTCTGGTGCCACTCCCACTCTCGATGCTGGAGCGGACTTTTCCGCTCGGGCCGAGTATATGTGCATCACTCATGGGTGGATTGCTGCTGATGAGCTCTGGAGCATCACGCAGAACATCATGTTCATGCAAGACCAAGCGAGGTTCACTGCTCCGGTTTATTGGGATCAACGTGATGGAGAATTCACTCTTTCCCCATTTGGAGAAATTGTGCTTTTCAACAACACCATCAATGTGATCTGCGTCCTTGTTGATGACCATTGGGCTGCCATCGAGATACACAGACGGGGTGATTCTGCACATTTGACCTTTGTTCAGATGCCTTTGCATCTCCACACTGCGGCCACCTTTGTCGTTGCGAGGTTGCTCGATCTTGCTCCGCATCGGCTCACTGCTTCCAGTGTCCATGACCAACACCTGCCGCACCTGTGTGGATGGAGGCTAGTGCAACGCTGGATTATGTGGTTTGAGCTTGAAGACCAGTTCCAGGATGAGGCTTTCCATGGCGTTGCTGATCACTTCCGTGACATCATCAACCTCACCCTTGAGTGCTCAGTTGAAGACTGGGGAACCTACATGGCGCCTCCTCCTTTGGTTGAGTTGGCATCCAAGCTTCGGAAGAAGTTCCTTATCTTCTTGGCAAGACGTGAAACACGGCAAGAACCTGTCCCGCAGAAACCGCTGGTTGCCGCCTTCCCAGTTCGGTTGCGACCTTTGTCTTCTGCCGCCCCGGCCCCGCCATTGACCCCAGCAGAGATTGCCAGCCGCCGCATCGAGGCTAGGCTGCAGCACATGCTGCGCTACAGTGGCTGGATGGCTACTGACGAAATGGACTTTTCTCTGGATGCAGCTCGTATTATCCAGCCAGGTACCCTATTCTGCGCTCCTGCAGTATGGAACCTTACAACAAGGTCCTTGGATTTTCCCAACAATCTATTGCCAGAGTATGGAACGCACACGCACATCATTTGGTTCATCATCCACAACAATCACTGGCTACAGTTTGAATGCTACAAGCAAGGTGATCGTTCACGATTCATTGCCTCTGTTCCCATCCACCAGCGAGGAATCTATGTGCCTCTCATTCAGCTCCTTCTGGATGACATTGGCTTGGATCACTCAACTATCGCCATTGACTTTGTGGACCAGACTATGCCACGTGATCTCTGCGGCTATTATCTGCTGGCCAACATCTTCTACAGGCTTGGGCTCCATGCACCTCCTCCACTTGATGTGCATGATCAGCTTCTGTCCCAAGGTTGCCATGGAAGACTCATTGACCGTGTCAGGCACGAGGCTAGAAGCACTTGGATGAGAGCCGAGGGCCTTCCGGACTTCGTTATTTTTGCCGCAAATATTCGTGACTGGTTCCTGCTCAGGGTGCAAACCAACCGTTTTCCTGATCATGTGCTTGCAGCTGGTGCCATTGATGTGGCCATGGATCCTGCACAACAAGGAACAAATCACTCCAGCGCTGCTACCGCTCCTCCACCTTCGGGCAAGCCTGCTTCCTCGGCAACGGCCACCAAAGGAGTTGACCCAGTGTGGGTGAATGATCCATGGAATCAGAAACCGGCTCGTCCCAATCAGTGCAAATGGGAGGACTTGCGCATCCAGCCTGAGGTGCCGTTTCTCGGTACAGACGGGAGGGCCTTGCAACAAACACATAGACTTCAACTTGCACCCAACAGGGGCGGCATTGTCCTTCTAACCAAGGCTTTCATTGCGGACGCCGCCAAACAAGCCGGCAAGCAAGACCTTGCCCTTCTTTTGCCGGTCACCGACCACATGCACTTGCCGCATCTTGCGAACAAGCTCGAGGGACCGTTCGAAGTGGCCATGATTGATGAGGTCGCGAAGATCACATACAAGAGATTAGTCCACCTCCTCGTCATCTATGGCAAGTGCACCTTTAAGCTTCCGGAATCAAAGTGCAAGATCACTACTGCTGCTATGTGTGAGCTTGTCCTCGAGGTGGATTCCCGACTGTGCCTGAAAAATGACTACGACAAGATCCGCGACAGCCCCATTGCAATGTTCCGAGACATGGTCAGCCAGATTGTCACCATTGACACCTCTGCTGTCCTTTATGGATTTCGGATCACGCACCACCCTGGAGCTACTAAGGGGGACAGCATCTTGCAGTGCATCATCAAAGCACCACAACCTCTGAGATGCCCGCTGCTCGAGGCTAGCGGACAATCGGTGCTCCTGATCCGGGATTTCCTGGAACGTGGTCAATCTACTACCGACACGTCGGTGCTGCCTCGGTTCTGGGCTCCCTCTCCCACCGAGCTTCACAGCATGCGCATCGCCCTGAAGGATGCACCAGGACAAGCTGGGATCATTCTGGCTCGCCGGGGCCTTGCCCCTAGAGTGTGGACAGCCAAGATTGTTGAAGCCAGGAAAACTCTGCTAGCTGCTGATGGGCGCATCGTTGACGCCAATCGTCATGTCATCCCACGGCTCTCCTATGAGCTAGCTGGCTGGCCGGCAGGTACAGATGCGGCAAACATCGTGCAGTCCACGCTTGACACCACTGGCACAGCAGTACTGCCCTTGCGAACTTTTCGCAACGCAGGAGTCCACACATGGATTGTCGCCACAGAGAAGGAGTTCACTGTCTCGCAGTTCTCCATCGAAATCAACGGTCAGGTGCACCAGATTATCATCCAACTCCTTGACCACTCAGGGGCCACCAAAGGAGCTGGAAAAGGGAGTGGGAAGAATGCATCCAAGAACAAGAAGAAGCCTACACCTCCTGAGCCTGCGCCATGGACTGCTGTCAACCTGACCAACACGGCCCCTGCTGACTCCAGTCGGCTTGACTCTCTGGAAGCCAGGTTCGATCGTTTGGAGCAGAGACAGACCCACTTTGAGGGCAAGGTTGATTCCAAGTTCGACAGCATCAGTGATGCATTGAGGCAGCTGCTCGCGAACACCAACCCGCGAGCGCGGGAAGCCAGCGGTGAGACGCCACCTCCAAAACAGCACAAGGGGTCGTGACTCCTTGATGCAGGGCTGATCCATGTGATGCTTGGATTTCGCCTTCGTTCCCTAGGCCCGCGTTGGATTTTTGGGCCTGTGGTCTTTCGTTTTCTCCTTGTCTCTTCGCTTTCTCTCGTTGTTTGGCTCGCTTTGTCGCATCCTTGGCTCTGCCCTGCTTTGCTCTTTCTCCAGGGGATTGCATTCTCTTTCCGAGCATGCCTTTTGGATTCAAAGGCTCGACGCAAGTGCTCGCACTTCGTGGGGACGACATGTGCCCCTTTTCGGCCCTTGTTCCTGTTAACGTTTCTTCAGTGGATTTTCGCTTTCGCTTGCCTGTCTTCGTGGTCCTCATGCCCTTTCTCGAGGCATGACCTGTGTCCTTTTTATGTACGATGCGAATTCCATTTTCAATTCAATTGTGGAAGCAAACTGAGCTGGAACCTCCCAGCTCGCGATTTTGTGCCTGTGAAAATAATTGCTGCCTGTGCCAGCCCGTCTTTCGATCGGCTCGAATTCGATCACACATTAGGCTTTCCGGGTGAAGGCCCCGGTAATATGACCCTGTGGTCTGCGAACATAGGATCTTTCCGAACCAATGCAGGGTGGAAGTCTTGGTCAGCCGATGTGTGCTGCCTGCAAGAGACACGTATTGGGAAGACTAACCTTCGCTCGTGTTGCCTTGATGTCAAATCTAAAGGCCTCCGCTTAACCACTAGTGAACCCCTTGCTGTCAAGTGGCATGCCGCTGGGTCCATCACACCGTGTGGGGGTACGGCAATCATTGCTTCGGAATCCTTGATTCAACCCTTTGACCCGGCATGTGATCAAACTGGTCTCTATGTTGGTCTCTACCGCACCCAACGACTGAATGCCGCTTGGATCCAAGTCAAACCAAGGACGCGAGCGCTGGTTATCTCCGTATATGCTACCACAGGGGCTTCTCAAGACCCTCACATTCATGCACGAAACGATGAACTGTTTTCTCAGATTTTCGCTTTGGTTTCGCAGTTTGGTCAGATTCCAGTTATCATTGCTGGGGACCTTCAAGCTGACCCCATGAGTTACCCGTCAATTGCCAATGCTGTCAGTTTTCACAATTGGCACGACCCTATTGCTGGTGTCGATCACGAAGGGTTCTCGACTCGGCCCCTTACTTTTTCGCGTGACGGGGCCTTTTCCGGTGCAGATGACGCCACATCCTCAATTGATGCGATTCTGCTTAACCAAACCGCGTTCTTTGCCCTGGAATCAGCGGAAGTTGTTCCTCTTATTGGTAAACAACATCGACCTTTGAAGTGTGTCTTCAGGTGGGAAGCCATTGATCTTGTTGGATTCATCCATCTTAAAAGTGCCCCTTTTCAGGTCGAAACACTCGAAAAGGCTCATAAAGATGATGACTCCCCCTCTCTTTGGGACCGTTTTGAGCAGCGGTATCATGATGCCTCCGATTCGGACACCAAGTGGGATGTTGTCAATGACTTTCTGATTCATTCGCTTCTCCACAGAGGTGCCACCTGGGGGAATGGTCCACGTTCCAGAGGTCATGCACCGGTTTTTGTTGCAAAGAAGATTGCACCTGCGCAACATCGTTCGGGGTGCGCTGCCACCAAGAGGTCCACCAAACTGTTTAAACTCCTTGGCCGGCTTAACGAATTGTTTTGCCGATTGTCCCGTTCCCCGGGGGGACTCCAAGATCAGTTCGATACTCGCCAGACTGCTTTCAAAGCTTTTCGTACCCTCCAAGATCTTGAAGCCCCTTTCTGTTGGTCTGTTCCCACTCAACCAACGCTGACTGATGTTTTCATTGCCAAGCAGTGGACCGAATCTGCTGCCAAACTTCTTGACGCTCAAATCCGCCACAGTCGGATCAAGAGGTGGAAACAGAAGATCTCACAGTCTGCACAAACCAACTGTCAGTACATCTACCAGCACCTTAAGAATCGTGCACAAGATGAGCCCCCTAATCTTGTTGTTGATCATGACGGACACATAGTGTATCAGCCTGACCAGGCTCTTGATCACATCAATGATGCTTGGGACACGATCTTTTCTGCTAACATCCTTTGTGAGCAGCCTTGTAAGGTTCTTGCCACTGTTTGGCCACAGATCCAAGACAAGTCTGCACAGTTGGATTTGCCAGATGTCACGAGCCGACAGCTTTTTGAGACTATTCAACGCCGGAAGATTGCTGCTGCACCTGGTTTTGATGGCTGGAGGACTTGCGAGCTTCAGGCTCTCCCAGTCGCATGCTTTGAACCAATAGCAATGTTTTTCACGTTTATTGAACAGAGTGATCAACCCCTACCGAAAGCACTTGTCTGCGCCAAGCAGTGTATTCTCAACAAGAAAGGGCCTGCTTCGGCCCTCAATAAGAGATTAATCACTGTCTTGCCGGCGTTGTTGCTGGCATACACGGGTAGTCGGTACAGACAAACTCAGGACTGGCAGAGACAAATTCTCCCACCTGCAATCCTTGGTGGCGTGCGTGACCGTTACATGGCATCTCTCTACAATGAGGTGCGCCTGCAGATTGATGTTGCACAAGTTTCTTCAGAGCCCATCATTGGTGTTAAGTTGGATAAATCAAAAGCATTTGATCGTATTGTTCCGGCTTTTGTTGCCATCCTGCTTCTCACTTTTGGGGCCCCGAAGCACTTTGTCAACTTTTTTCTTAAAATCTATCAAGGGTTGCACCGGCATCTCACCTATCGTGGGTGGGCTCGTCCGACGGCCACAACAGCCTCCAATGGAGTAGCGCAGGGTTGCAGTTTGTCTCTTCTTGCAATGAACATGTACAACAAAGTCTGGTATCATTTGCTTGAGCACTTGCCGTCTTTGTCCGCTCGCGCGTTTGTTGATGATTCTTACATTTGGTGCAAACTCATCAACTTAAGTGCACTTGATGAGGCCCTTCGCATCACAGAACTATGGGATCAGTTGGTTGGACAACTTTTCAACCCCGCCAAGTCTGCCATGTGGTCTTCACATGCCAAAGGTCGGGTTGCTCTGAAAGCCTCCTTTCCCCTGTTCCCAATTGAACTTGAGTTTGAGGTGCTTGGAACCCAGATGTATACCAGCCATCGCAGAGCTTTTCACTTTGACCCTGCACGGTTCAAAAGGATCATCGCAGATATTGCCCACATTGGCGCCTTGGCAATCCCTATGCATGTAAAAAATTTGCTGATTGGGTCTAAAGCGATTGCTAGGCTGACGTTTGGGACGCACATTTCCCAGGTTCCCAAGAAAGAGATGTCTCAAATGCAGAGCGCGGTTATCCGTGCCCTTTGGGCAGGTAAACCAAAATGGAGGGCCAAGTGGCTAGTTCAAGCCATTCTAGGGCAACCCCATCGCACAGACCCGGTCATTGCTTGTGCTGTTGCAACGATCCAAGAGTTTGTACGCTGTTGTCAACGGAGCCCACACATGCTCCCATTGCTTCACTCCACCTTCGAGGCCTCCCACAACCTACCACATTCCCTGTGGTCTCGGGTCCGTGCTGCGTGTGAAGTTTTGCATGTCGATATCACCGCTGATGTTGAACTGTCATTTCGTGGGTCCCCCGGGTTGTGCCTGCGATACCTCCAACCCCGTGAGATTAGACCCCTCCTCAAACAACTTGCCAGGCAAGCTGCATATGAGAGTGTTGATTTTCGTACAAGGAAAGATTTTGCTAAGCCACAAGGTCTCCTTAACCATTGGAGCACTACTGCCCTGCTTCGCTCGCAATATAAGGAGAACCTTAATGACATTCCAATCCAGCTTCGTTTTCAGTCCACGGTGGTAGGCTGTGTGCTTACTAACGATCGCCTTGCTGCCGCAGGATGGTCACAATCAAGCCTGTGCCGTTTCTGCCACCAAGCTAAGGAATGCCTGGAGCATTTGGTGCACGATTGCAAACCTCTCCATGAAATCCTTGGTCCACCTGTTTTGCATGAGCTTGGGAGCAACTTTGGCCTTATGGGTATTGTTGAGCAGCCCTTCTTCCTTGCCCGTCGCAGGCTTGTACTTACTAGAGCTCCAACTGCCTTTCCGGCCTTCGACCCATCCTGCAACTCTGAACTTTGGACAGATGGTTCTGTCCTTTGGAGTGAGCGGTTCTGGATTACTACTGCAACGTTTGCTGTGGTTGGCCCTGACCTGCAAGTGGTTGCCAAAGGCTTGGTGAGTTACCCTTGCCTCAATTCCTATGTTGCCGAACTGTGGGGCCTCCTTCAAGCGTGCCTCCACAGCAAGCATTGTGTACAGATTTTCTGCGACTGCAAAAGTGTTGTTGAACATGCTCACCAGGTTTTTGTGACTGGAATCGCGGATGAGAGCTGGCTATGCCAAGACTGGTGGAGATTTTTGGCTAACCTTACACTCTACCGACAACAGCAGCATCCTCAGCCTTTTGCGGTGCAGTGGATTCCGGCCCACTGCTTTGAGCAGCTTCCTATTGAGGCTATATCTGATCAAATGGCTCAATCACGCCATACCTCGGTACGACACATTGAACAAAATCGCAAAGCTGACCTTGTTGCTAAAGAATATGCAACAGCGCTGTCACCGGTCCGTGTTAATGTACAACATGAAGCTGAACGATGCATTTTAGCACACCAGCGTTGGCTTGCGCAACTTCATGCTCTCCTCCCTACTGATGCCGACCATTGTTCTGAGGAAGCCAGTGGCGCCCCGGAGGAACTTGACCGAGAGGCATGCTGTAAGCTGTTCCCTCACTGGCCATGGCGCAGTGTTGCTGCTCAGTTTCCATGGAAGCCGAAGATCCCAACTGGCTACGCACAGCCAACTAACTGGATTGGTACTTTGGCTGAGTGGGAAGTTGTTTGTAGGTTTCTTCGCTCGCTGCGTTGGAAGATTGATGACGAAGCTGTCACGTCAATCGCTGAGCTCACGGTGCTTTTCCATCGAGGAGGTTGGAAGTTTGAATGTGATCCCCAACTTGTTACATATTTTGACCTTCATGCCCGCCTTCGCAAAGCGATTGGCATTTTTGCTAGGTGTGATGATGCACAGGCCTTTCCAGGCACTCTTTATCCCGCCCTTGCCAAGGCGGCAGGGAAAACCTTGCCGCAGGGGTCCATCAAGGGAGCGGCCGTGTTGATTGATGACGTGGCCCTTCTGCAACTGGCCCGTCTATTTGCTTTTGGCGCAGGCCGAACGCTTGCATCATGGAAGATTCCGGTCTTGTAGTTTGCTTCCCGTGCATGTCTGGAGCTTCTGCTCCCCCTTCTTTCAGCTTGGGGTTCTGTAGTGTCTAGGTCAGCGGCCTGGCACCTGACCGGCCATGCTTTTCCGCGTGGAGTCCGGTTGCGCTTGGTGATATATACACGTAAAATATGCCTAAGCTGTCTCATTGCATGTTGGACCATGGCCACTGTAAAGGCGAGTCGTTTTCAGCCTGTGATACCTGCCCTGACCGTTCAGTATGGAAAAAGGACCGATAAAATGGTACAATGACTTCTGCACTATTGCACCCGTCCCTCTTCATGGCCTAGGCTTCAACATCCCAACCTGGCGCGTTACTTGGACCTCTTGGTTGGTCGTGACAGTGTTGTTTTCATCGCCAGTGAGCACAGCTCTTTGTCGCTGGGCACGGTGCTCGCAGCCCATCCCACAGGTTTTGTGGAGGAAAAATCACTTCGCATCGTTTCTCAGTTGCTGCGGGCCTTGTGCCACTTGAATAGCCGGGGTTTGGTGCATGGGCGGCTGGAGGCATGGATTTGCAGTGGTGTCATTTTCTTGGTGCTCGTGTGTGAGAGTTTGATGAGTTCTGGAAGTTTGAGAGCCAAGTAGAACACGAGGCAAAATGAGCTTTTGGACGTGTTTACTGGATGACTCGTCATGACTTTTGCATGTTTGTTTCTTTTGTTTCAGCTTGCACACCAAGGATTCCAACTCTGTGGTCTTCAAAGAGGCACTGAAGGAGCAGAGTGATGAGATTCTGTTGACAGGTGGGGTTCTGTTCAGGCATTTGGACGGAGCGCGGACGACGGGATTTTGGTTGGTGTTTGCCTCCCAGCCAAGCACTGGGCTTACCGGATGCCGTTAATGTTGAATCCAAATTAGTATAATGGGACGGAATAATAAAAAGTTTTCGCCAAATTATTCACACACCCTGATTAGTTCGATGGGTCGGAACAATAAAACTGTTTTTTCTCCCAGTGTTTTGTTTTTAAGGTTTGTTTGTGTTTCTATTGTTCTGCTATTGCTCACCCTTTAACTTCCTTACTTAACTCTCCTGAGGTTTGCTTGATTCATAGAATTCTGACCTGAAAGTCGTGTTCAAAAACGCTTATTAAAACTCAACGATTTCATCGCTCCAAACACTTTTTCAAGGGGGTAGTACACCAGCCCAGCAGGGTAAGTGAATAATACGAATTGTTTAGGGGGTGGGATTAATATGCAAACTTGGAGCCCCAAGGGAACATATTCTAACTTTATTATTGTTCTGCTATTGCTGCCCTTTGAAATCCTTACTTAACTCTTCTGAGGTCACGAAAGGGTAGCCCTTTAGGGGATACCTTGAGTTTGTCTTGGGACGTCCGGGTCTAATAATTGATCACTCAATTCAAACCCCCCCCTCGAATTGATTTCTCAATACAGACCCCCCCCCGCCCCCTTGGAATTGATTTTTCAATACAGACCCCCCCCCTCTAAATTCAATTCTCTCCTGGAGAACGTCTTCGTGAGCCTATCATGATTTCAGGATAGTTGAAACCCTCTTGAACATTCAGAAAGAGTGCATATGAAATTCTAATCGCGAAAGGTGTTCCCCGAGGGGATACATACCTACAGTTTGTTTTGTGAAGCACGTCAATTCTCTCCTGGGGAGCGTCTTCGTGAGCCTCTTATGGTTTCAGGATAGTTCAAACCCTATGATGCTCCGATTCAATGCTCACCGATGATCTGATCCATGGGGCAAGTTTGTTTTCCTAAGAATATTTTTGAACATTTCGAGAGCATATGTTTGAACATTCAGAGTGCATATGAACATATATTTACGAAAGGTCGCCTCCGAGGGGATAAATCACCATGTCGAACATTGCATTTTTTTGTTCTTGCCTCTCGCGTTCTCTTCTCTTCCCGCTGTCCTACCTTTCGTGTCTCCCTCCTCTCAAGTTTGATTCATGGAATTCTAACCTGGAAATCGTTTTCAAAAACGCTTATTAAAACTCAACGATTTCATTGCTCCAAACAATTTGTCAAGGGGGTAGTACATCAGCCCAGGGTAAGTGAATGATACGAATTGTTTAGGGGGTGGGATTAATATGCAATCTTGGGGCCCTAAGGGAAAAATCTAACTGTATTATTGTTCTAATTGTTATATATATATATATATTGTTTTGCTACTGCTGCCCTTTCCAACCTTGGTTATCTCTTGTACGACGACCTACTACTACTACTACTACCACCACTACCACCACTACTACCACTACTACCACTACGACTACTACTGCTACTACTACTCCTACTCCTACCACTACCACTACCACTACCACTACTACTACTACTGCTACTACTACTACTTCTTCTTTTGGGTGGCGGGGTTACTCTTCAGAACCTTTGAATTGTTTGCTAGGGAGGGGGGGCCTTACTAATTAGGATCGAACATTACCCTCCAACCACAGCTAGGGTACTGTATATTATTGTCTTTGTATATTTATTTAAATATATATATATATATCTGCGGATGCGAATCAATGATTGCACTTGTTGCTGGCTCCATAGACCAGTCGCACAGACCAATCTGAGTAACCAGCCTTTTGCTTTTGGACAGGTGGTCCGGGTGAGTCAGCAAGTGGTTCAGCGGTATACAGCATTATACCGTATACTTCCTCCTTTTCTATATAATATAGTATGTTACCCGGTGTGTTTCTCCCAGACCGAAGGGAAAGGAGTTGGGAAGGGAAAGCAGATGCACTTTTCAGGTCATGGCATGGGACATCTTCTGGGCGGGTCTGACCTGTCTGGAATGCAACCTCTGACCTGGAGCCCTTTGACACCTGCTGACCCCTGTTGCTTGTCACCTGAAGTGGCGGGCGAACACCTCAAACAGGCGAGCTGCCAACCAGACGTGCCGCTCGATAGCATGTCTTCAGCTGGGTGTTGTGAGGGTGCACAGACTTTTGTTTTGTGTTTGTTTGGTGGGGTCAGTGGGGTCGGGGTACCAGGGATTTGGCAGAGTTGCTGCGTGCCGAACTGGCGGTGAGGCGAAGTGCAGCCAAGAGTAAGACAGGTGTGAATGGGGCCCATCGAGTATTTCGCAATGGCTACTACTAGTAATGCCCTTTGCTACTAGTAGCTTCTTGCTCCTAGTAGCGATGCACTTTGTTACTACACGGAGTGTCTAGCATGGTCCAAGCGCTTCGGTTTGACTCCTTCGGATGCCCAATGGTCCCACATGATATATATAATATATAGTCTCACAATGCCAGCCCCAAAGCCCCAGCGCAAGACGCAATAGCTCAGAATGCTAAGTTCAAGGTGTGGTAGATCCCAGAGGTCGTGGTAAGGCGGTTGACAGCTGAACTATGAAGAATCATCATCTGAGAAAATCCGAGTGGCCTGGCCTCAACATCTGCAAGGAGCGAATTGAAGTGCCCTCTTTCAAACGTTCATGTCTTAGGTGGAGCTTGGGGATTGTGCTGCTGCAGATGCTGCAGGGTCCCTGGTCCCACCTCCTCTCGGAAGCGCCTTCCGAGCGACGGAGGGGTGGCCTTGTGGCGGCAGAGACCGCGGCGGAGCTGTGGCGCTTTGCCAACTCCAGCGTGAGCCGCTGGTTTGAGCAGAGGAACAGGAAGTGTCCACAGGGCAACCACATCGTGTCTGGAAGCCTTTGAAAACCATTCCGGTTTTTGGCTTGCTTTAGAATCTTGAAGTGTCAAGAAGGTGTGGAATCCAACGGTGAGATTATGCTTTAGTTTGGGGAATTCGTCTCCGCAGTATTTGCCAGCTGCCAGCTTTGGCCCGTGCATGGGACAAGACAGGCTCTCGATAGCTGGCAGCCTAGGCACAGCAAATCCTGGCCTTACGCTACCAGTTGTGTTAAACTGGGCCGACATGGGCGACGGATCAGCTGGATCGGCGTTGCCAATTCCACAAAGTTTGCAGATGATGAACGACGCTTCGATCATTGATGCTTATCTTGAGTTGCTTCAGTTGAATGGTCTGATTGATGTCAGGGAGCCTTATTTGGTAACTGAAGCAGCGCTAGATTGCGGAGCCATTCTCTTATCATCCTTTATTCCTTCTGTTACTCTGCACAAGTTGATTCTTAGGGGCAGAACTGGCCGCCAAGGAACTGCAAGGATCCTACCGGCAATGGCTTAAGGGCGAAGGCCTTTGTCACTTGGCAACCAGAGAGTCAAATCCTGTTATATAGTTCCGGGGGGCACGTTTGTTACCTGGTTGCGCATGGTTTGGACATTATATGGCTGTCGGTCCAAAACCCGGAGCCCTGATCCCTGGCAGCTTGACCTCAGTGGTCAACCAGGGGCCATGGCCACAAAGCCCACAATGCATTCGGCGGTTTCATGCTTTTGCAAGAGACCTGGACCCCCCGCGGATCGGGGAAGGTGGAACATGTCTTTCAATCTCCCGTTTGGACTCGGCTCCTGTAACTGGAGCACGTGCTGTTGAATCGCTTCGAGGTAGTGGAGGTTTGGTCAATGACTTCTGGGAAGAGTGTGTGACTTTGCGGCCCTCACAGAGGCCGAGGCCGCAGGATCTCGCCTCTCATGCCTGCATGGCGCAGCCTGATCTTGTGTCAGCCGCAGGCGTGTGGACGGTCCGAGGAGATGCAAACCTTTACAGTCGAGATGATGAGGCACCCCCAGAAGCAGCTTCCCAGCCGCAGAGATACCTGCAAAGTATGGGAATCTCAGCTTGAAGTTTCTGTCCCTGTTTAGCTGTTTGGGACGTTGCTTTGTTCCAGTTGCCCATAGAGATATTGTTCTTTTGTGACTGCTTGATGCGCTCAGGAGTGGACTTGGCTCACCTGAGCTACTGGTGGCACTTGGCGGGTGGAAGCCCCTACCGCGTGGCAGCTGAGCGTTTGCTCTTGCGACCGACGCCGGCCATCTTTCGCTTGCCACTTTTTGTCCTGGACTCCCACGAGGAGGAGGGTCACCGGAGCACGTTTCCACCCACTGCTTAGCAATACATTTTGCAATGTCCCAATCTGCACGGGCTGGCCTGGGATGTATTAATTGACATAATTGAGGCTTCAACTATGCCGACAACCAGTGCATACATAGTAAGTTTCGAAAGCCGATGCCCAGCTGAAATGAAGTTCTCATAAACCACTCCGTACGAGAATGGAGGACACCTTCAGACACAGAACGTGTGTCTTTGTTGCAAGACTTCTTCCATTACTACAGAGCAGGTGGAATTGAACCTAGACTCTAGACATGAACTCCGTGTCCTCTTTTGGGTGGGTGGGTGAGTGGGTGGGTGGGCCCTCGAAGAACCCCCCAAACAGCACCTGTAAGACGAGCCAAACTTCCAGACCCACTCCTGAGGTTCTTGAGTGAGGAGATGACCACAGCCACATCCCGCCCGTCTGCGAAGACGGACGCCACCGGGATGCAGTTTTGGGACCCGCCACCCGAAGCACCACTGGGCTTCTTTTCAGCCACTAGGCTGACATGTGCAGATTGGGCCTTTCGGAACGGTTTGATCTTGATCTTTCTTTGGTGTATCAAATAGTCCTGGTGCGGATCAGGATTTCCGCTAGATTGCAGGCCTCCTGGCCAACAACACAGTCAAGGCCAGAGGTATCCCCAAAGTGAATGGGTTGAAACTGACAACCACTCATACTTGAGCCTCAAGGAGGTTGGGAAGGGGGATGAACCTCCTTCAGCCAGGGTGTGCTTATGTTTGTATATAAACTCAGCGTGATGCAGCATATGTGCATGGTTTGTTTATTGTGTATTTTTTGTTGACTTATAGCACTTTCATATTCCCCGTGCTGGTTCAGCGGTACAGGTTCCCTTGAGCTGTAATATATAGTAGAGGCGGAGTTAGAGGCGGTACAATGCGGTTTTCCGCGGTAGCCGGGTCACTCAAATACGATTGTTGCCGCTTGTGCGGTAAAAAATTGAACAAAGATATTGACCCGTGTCAAAACCCGCCTTTAAACTGAAAGAATCGAAAGTTCTTTTCTGTTGCTTTGTTCTAAACCGTAAAACCCTAAACCCCAGAACCTAGTCCAGAACCTGTGAAACAAACATAAACAAACAATGTTTTACAAACCATGGCAATAGAAACGATGAAACACGTGTCTGTTTATTTTGGTTGTGAAGGATCATGAGTCTGAGTGAGCAACCAAAATGTCACGGCCCCCGCGCTAACAGCGGTAAACATCGAAGTGAATTGTGTTCTGTGTTCCACACATACATACCGTTAAAATCACACATACAGTACATAGAATCACTTCCTTGTTGTGCTTCCTTACAAACAATGTGTGATTACAATGGGCTCCCTGTTGTGTGTTGTAACCCCAAAGCCCCGAGCCACCCGAAACCATGCCACTCGTATTTTTCCAGGTGGACCTCACAGACCTTTGTCAGGGTCTTCATGCCGCCGATCGTGCGAATGCAAAGGACTTGCGACCGGAATCACTTTACGAGACTGGGCCAAGGAACTGGGGAAAAGCATGATAAGTCATGATAGACGATAGTGCACAGGTGTTGGGGGACCAAAGACATTTGCAGAATGAATGGTGGCAAGTTGCGGTAGATGCTTGGTTTTATCACAACATTATCACGACACTGACCTGTTACATCAAGTATGATCAAGCCAATGCTAAATCCGATGGACCGTGGTGGACGCATTTTGCAGAATGTTCAAGTACCCCATACAAGTAGGAGCAATGCAGCACGTAGCTTGCACAAGTACGTAGGGGTTGCAGGTCGTTTTGTCCTCACTGATTTGCTGAGTGATTGGCCACAATTCGAAAAGATATTCTCGCTCCAGTGACCTCAGGAAAGGCATCAGCACTTTGCATACCAATGGCTTCGCGTGAAACAATTTCAACGCTTGCTGGCCGCTTTGACGCACAGACGTGTGGAGCTCTTCCGTGAAGCGAGCGAGGATCTTCCTCCCCTGCTTCGATCGTCCATATGGTCGGCCTTGCTGGGCGGGGCACCTCTGCTGGAATCGGATGAGGCTTGCTGGTCTTTCAGCAGCACGCAGCAGATGTACGCTTTGTTGCCCCAAAAAGTGCTCTTTGGTGTTGTTTCTATATTGGCCTTTGTCCTAAAAGCCAACCTGTGGGGAAGACTGCTGGCTGGGAATAGACAATAGGTTGCCCGAAAGCAGCATGCCATGGCCAAGACATAAGTCGATATGCTGACATGCAGATATGTCACATGGTGTTGTATGCGATCGTGATTTGGGAGACTCTTTCTTTAGTCGCCGTCAGTGGTTTTTGAACCTTGTCCAGCGCCACTTGGATGATTGACAATATTATATATATATATATGCGTGTGTGTGCGTGCAAGCCTGCTTGGCTAAGACCAGAAACTCGGAATTCAGGTAAAACAGGCAGTTCATTACTTCTTTACTCGCCCGTTCTTGGTGGTTTCGCCACCGGCCTCCACCGGCCAGGTCACCCTTCTACGAACACCTTTTGACGACACCGCTTGGAGGAGGTTTCTCGGATGGCCAAGGCGTTGGGAACTATTTGCTTGAAAGGCCGAGCAGCGGTGGCACGGGACGATCTTTTTCGGACGATGAGAGGTGGAAGGTTGCAATGAGAAGCGTGCCGCGCGACCTGGTCAAAGGATTGGGTGGTGGTTGTGGTTCGGAATATGTTTGTGATTGTTTGTGTTTGTCCAATGAAACACTATCTTTTCGGTCGATTTCATTTCACCACAGCCATGGAAGTTTGGGCGAAACCAAGCTGGTTTCTTTTGTCCGTGTGTCATGTGTATTTGGATAAGTTCATGCATTAAATTTAGAGTTCATTTTGTTCAATTTGCTTTGCTCGTGGATTTTTGATTAAAACATGTAATCTTTAGGCACCACCCTGACCATTGGAACCCTCACACGCCTCCTGCTACCTCCCTTAGGCGATAGCTTTGATAGTTCTGACAGCAACCGGCGCTTCGATCGCTTGATTCATGCCCTGCTGGCGGCCAATCCAGATCTCCAACACCCGGAGGGCTTGGGTGCCTTGTGCTGCGTGGTGACCGCTGTTTTCCAACAACGCGAGGAGGCCGCCTTCCTGGCACTGCAACGACGCTCGGATCTGGATAGACTTTGTGCTGGGGCGCTGTTGGGCATCATGTTGGTAGCATCAGGATAGTGAAAGACGTGTTCCTTACCAAACCACGACAAGGTGTTCATCAAAGATTTAGAAGCATTAATTACTAACTGTAACATTTTCGCCCGAATGTCATTTCCGTGGAGATCATTGTCAGTTCAGTTTAAAGTTAAAAAGCAACCCTGATAACCCCACTTCATGTTCCCGTTCCACGAGGTGGTCGCTTGCAAGATACTAGCTGAATATTGATAATTTCTGTGAGTACGCAAAAACTGCTCCCTGAGAGGGCGATGGAGGGCGGGGAGAGAAAGAGAGAGAGAGAGAGAGAAATAGCGCGAGGGTGCGTGAGGGATTATTTAGATTTGCACCTCCAATCCCCCGACAGATGGGGCACCTTCATGCACCTTCAATATCCTTCAACCATCCACCTCACACCAACGTGTTTTACCCAACTTCAGGACTCTTGCATGGCTTTCTTTGGCCGCTCTACGGTCCAGATGGCTTGGCCCAGCGCCGCCGCAGCTTACAGATCTTCGGGACGTTGATGAGCTTTGCGGATCCTCAGCGGCTCGGTGTTTGTCTCAGCGGCTCGGGTGGCCGGATTCCAGAGCGGTCCAGAATGGGGATGCCCCGGAGGACCCATGAGATGCCAGGTGGATGTTGAATCCATTGAACTGATTCGTTCTTGATGCTGATGAGGGTGTGCAGAAGATCCGAGAATAGGTGAAGTCACATGATGTTTTTGTCCATTTGAGGAATGAACTATGTCCATGGAGAAGTAATTAAATTACTGGGGCTCCAAGCAAGTTGTGCGCTTGCTTGTCCTTTGGGGCAATGTGAATTACCAAGCCTGTGAGCTGGGTGGCCCGATGGCCCTGTCCCATGTTGGGTCGAAGCTAAGGCTGGCTCTCCACCTGCATGAGCAACTTGGTTGCCTAGAATGAGGACTTGCAGCCACCAAATGCTTGAAGATGGAACGCTAGGGACTCATCAGACGTTCAAACCCTGAAATCAGTCAGGCTTGGAATGCAGCCAGATGCTTATGCAAGTGACTGGCTTTGCACATGGTTTGCGAAACTGCTTCCACTGCCACAAGCTATCCTCTTGTGGGACACGCTGCTTTTGCATCCTCCGCAGTTTCAGCTCTTCGTTGGTTTGTGCCTGGCATCTTTGCGTGGAGATGTGCCGGTCATGTTTGCAGACCAACCCTCCCATGCTCTGTCGCACTTCCTTGACACAAACTCCAAAGAATCCGAAGATATATATATATTATCATTATACATCATTAAAATGATTAATATGATATTCTACAATGCAGCTGGATATTTGAGCAACATGGATCAACATGGATTGTTTGACCATTGAACTGTGAAAAAACAACAGCTGATTCTTGAGCGCAAGTCACAAGTCATTTCGATTCACTTCAACCCTGAGGTACATTTCTTCCGGGAGTCCCTGCTCTCATTGAATGAAGCCTCTCAGATCGCGACGTTTCTATCCAGTTGTGCTCAACTGGTGGATATACAGGTCTTAGTCACCGCAGCAAGGGACTTCTTTCAGGCACTTCCGGCCTCTCTTACTTTGCCCGTTTATCCTAGACACTCAGCTGGTGAAGCCTTGCTTTGGGAAGAAGGAGCTGCTCCCATTGCAGCCGACCCCAGCTGGGGCTACTTGAACTCCGTGCTCGGTGGACAGCCACAGGAGAAGTCCGAAGCGCAGCAGAAGCTGGCCCAGCATGCGACAGAGCAATGGCGACAATGTGAAGCTTGCATTTGTCTAGTCAAGTGTGTATTTCCCCCGCGGATTAAATTTTGTGTGATATTATCTAATGTTCTATATTATTCTATAGTCCTTACAGGAGAAGAGCAACTCAACTGATTGGAAAACGATGATTTGGCCTGCCCAGAGGGTTCCTCTCAAGCAAGACCCCAGCCTCGAGGAATGGTGGCGCCAGCGCAGCAAGAATGTCTCAACACCGCCGATCATTACAGTGGACGATTTTCTCAGTTATCGCAGTCGTTGCTTTATTCTAGACGTCCGTCCGACAGAGGAGTTCGACAACTGCCATTTCCAATCCAGCCGCCTGATGCGATCGCGATCGTTTCCAGTTTCCGGGAGCCACCAACGAGGTCATAACCAGGTTGAGGTTGAGCACTTGATGCAGTAAGCTGGACTTCCAAACACATGGGAGGTGTGTGTGTGAATATGAAAATGGAGAACCGGATAGACTGGTCTATTTCCCGAATGTTCAAGGGGGGTTTGGCTGGGAAGTGTCCCGATTTCGATACACACCCACATATACCCGCATTACTTGTGAGAAGTATATACCAATTTGTGACACTGGGCCACCTGTGTAAAGGCAGCGGCTGTCCTTTGACGACACGACCAGCGGTGGGTTTGAGCTGGGATGTGTCTCCTTGCTTTAAGCCCATTTGGCTTCTCTCCCATTGTATATAAGTCTGTTGGCTTTCCGCTTTCGGTTGCCTTGATTCAAGTCCAGAATCAGCGGCCTCTCCCAACTTTGCATCCAAGGCATTCACGTCAGTGATCCTGAAGCACCTGATTTGCTGTCCTCGTTGCCTCCTGACTTTGTGTCTCACTGCGGGACACCAAGAGAAGCTCAGGAGGAGCCTGCCTCACCGTGGCTTTTTGCCACCTCACGCTCTTTGGCAGCTTTTATATATAGAGATATAGAGGTCAGATAGAAAACATTGCGCAATGTATTAATCATTTTCAGATGGGGTTTACCTGCTCTATTCTGTCTAATTTTCTATATACTTTTGGGGCCAATATACTCTTACTGCACTGGCCCATTCCGAGGTTTGCGGTTGGTGGTGGTCATTGGGGCAGAGGATTTTGGCATCGCTTTTGCTGATCGGCTGTTGCGCCTCAGCTGTAGGTGGTAATTTTTGCTCATTCTGTTCTATTGGGAGTTTTTCCCCAAACAGTTTACTGTTAGGGTTCTCAATTCTTTCTTAAGATGTGTCCGCCCTTTGTGTCACTGCTGGTGTCTGCCCTTTTCCGCTGGCCATGTAGCATGCAGTCTATTCATTTGTCTCCCAGGTCTGTCACTGCTGGTGTCCGCCCTTTTCCTCTGGCCATGTAGCATTTCTATTCATTTGTCTCCCAGGTCTGTCACTGCTGGTGTCC